CAAGTACTCTTAAACCTTCGAAACCATCAATTATGATTAGTTACTCACATGGAGACAATGATGTCTGCACACAACTTTACCATGAGTTGAATAAGAAGAACGATGAATTTTATATTTGGATTGATCGTCAATATTGTAAAACTGGTTACTTATGGGGTAAAATCGCTGATGGTATGCAAGCAGCGAGTATTATTCTGTGTCTTCTATCAAACAAGTATTATGAAAGCAAATCATGTCAACAGGAATTTGTCTATGCAAATGATCATTTGAAGAAACATATTATACCAGTGTTTATTCAAAAGGACAAACCGCCAGGCTGGTTAGGTGAAAGCATTTTCAGCATAATTGAACTTCAAAAGATCTGAACCATTTACTCTTTTTTTCTGTTTAGCTATTCATACATGCTTGCTAAAACATGTTCGATTTCGTCAGACTCAACCCTTGGAGAAAGAAAAGTTAAAAGATTTAATGGAAATGATTGACGAATATTTAACATTGAACAATAGCAAGAATAATGTTGATTCATCGACTTCAGTTATGACAAGTTTCGCTCCTGTGCATCATGAACCGATGATGCTAGCAGAAACAACAACAATGACCTCAGTTACAGAAAACAAAGAATTAGAAATTAAGCGACAAGTTGTTTACACAAGGTGTGTAAATTTTAGTTATGTACAAAAGAACATTAGACATTTATTATAAGAACTAATGGACACTCTATTCAATCAGAATGCCCTAGAAATGAGTGAAATACTTTACGTCGTTGTAACTCGTTCTCTTGCTATATCTGCTCTATTGTGAGGAGTTTGATCTAAATCATTACATAGCTCCATAACGGACTAAATAGGCGAGAAAAAATTCGCGTCAATGTATGATCATATGTAGCGAGAGTTTTAACGAAAAGGCAGACACAAAAGAAGAGATAATAATATGAGATCGAAGAAAGAAAGGCATCATATCCAAGGAACAGAAAGAAAAGTGAAAATATATTTTGAAGATGGAACCTGTAACAACCATGTAGTAAAAACATTAGATGATCGTTGATTATAACCGAGTTATGCTGAGGAAATGCAAAAATGGTGATCAATTTTCAATCTCTAAAATTTATGATATCCAATTATTCACATGTAATTCATTAAAATCTTGGGAACATTATCAGAAAGAACACTAGTGACAATTAGTGCTAGCCTCGCATGAATATTTTTTTGTCACTAGAATGGCATTGGTCTTCACCGATGTTTCTTTTTCACATATTGTCTACCTTTGCTCCTCTGTCAAGGTTCGAACTTCACAGATTTCTTCCTTGTCCCAGTCAGTGAACATACCATTAGGCGAAATCTGGATGTTTATACAGTTAGTGTGTTTTTCAAGGTGTGGGTGAGGGTATTTCGTATTAATATAGTTTCAACTGCTGAGGATCAAAACTTGAAAAGATAGTATAATATTCAATGATTCCGGCTTCAGCCGCCGTCTCTTACATATATACTATCGCTGGCAGTGTGCATAGTTTTTCGATGAAAGTTGTAATTAGTAACTAACTTGATGTGGGCTCATTCGTTCTTGGTCTAAATGATATCCACATATTCTTATACTCTAATATCTGTGTAAGCATTCATCTGTTCAAAAAGTAAATCAACATGTATTGAATGATATCATAAAGGGAACATGTAATTTTTTTCTAATGAACTCATTCAGTACTGCTCATCGTTCTCCATCACCACGACGGTGATCCATTAACATTTATTTTTAACAAAATTCATAAGTGTCCATAATATTTTAATTGATTGACAATGATTTCTAATAAAAATGAATTATAGTGTATGGTAATTTAATCAAATACTGATCTATTGAGATAAAATCAATGACAATACATGACATTCTAACAGATAATCATTTATTGCGAGGGTGATCGACTTGAATTGATTTTGGACAAAAAATGAATTTTACTAGATTCTTGCAGTGAATTTAAATCAAAGTTAATCGACTTGTAGTCGTGTAAGTTTGAGTTATCAAAACCAATCGACTATTTTTCAATTATCCCTTGAAAGATCTCTTACATGGAACATGTTGCAATCGTTAACTGGGATACGGTGAATACTCAAATTATTCAACAAGATTTCTTTTTCCACAGATATAAACGCTAGAAAAAAATTCAAATAGTGATTCGAGCGTAGAAAATTATTTCCAACCAGAATATATCAGAATAAAAATTGTTATCAGATCCCCAAAAAGTAAGGCCTTCAGATGACCAGAACTCAAACTTTCCAGCATCTAGAAATGTATAAATATGATTTTATTTACAATAATTATAAGGATAGAACAAACAATTACCTACAAAATGAGATGTGTCCGAGTTCTCGACGATGTTGTTTGGCTGAGATACAGCAATTTGATTGAAGAACAAAAAGTGGTTTTTCTACAGAAAATAGGAAAAAATCACTTTCTTGGCTTCCATAATATTATTGTATCTAAGTCAAAAAGAATTGCAGTGAACTTGAACACATCCTGTTTCATTAAGAATTGTTTGCTCTATCTTTATCATTCGTCTAAACAAAATTATATTTATATGTTCTTGATCTTGAAAAATTTGGATTTTGACTTTCTGAAGAACTTCTCTTTGAGAACCTGATAATAATTTGTATTCCTTATATTCTTGTTGGAATGAATATATCCACTAGAATCAGTATTACGATTATTTCGAGTGCTTAAGTCAATGAGAAAAAAAGGCAACAAAATCTTATTGAATAATTTTGGTACTCACTGATCATTCGGAGTATACTAGAATCCTCTTCAATTTGATTTCTTCTAGGAAATCTGCCGTCAACCTCGATGAGAAGCCCATATCACAATGGGACAAGGACGATGTTGCTCAATGGTTTCAACAGAACAAAATTATGCCTGAACTGTATAAATTATATCAATTCGAAGATGGTCCTGAACTATTAACTTATGCTGCAACGATTTTAGACGAAAATATATTGAAATTGGAACAGCAAGTCTATTCTCAAGCGTATTCACAAGAAAATAATGGGAAAGTATTGTTAACACCACCATTTTCACGATTCACGAACGCTTTGCAAAAATTGCACTATGATACTAAATTGAAAATGCAAAAAACAACAATAGCAGTAGAGCCAATTATTATGAATGCCAGTAATAGCGTTGGTGGTAAGCCTGCAACAAGAAATATTTCGCGTATACCAAGAAAAAGTTCAATAACGAAACCGCAAGTCTAACAGAACTTCAAGACGATTTACTTATTTTTGAACTGCAAAAGAATATATTTTTTTAACTACTTCGATTTATTCTAATTTGCACTACAAATCTTGAACAGTTTTTGAGTTTTGTGTAACCTAGCTTTCAGTATTTACTTAATTACACAAAACATATCTTATAACTTTGTTCTTTTTTTCTAGTATAATACAAAAGAACTTGAAAACTTCATTTAGGATGTGGCGAAGTGTCGCTACAAAGAAGTGCGGCATTCATGTCCACACCCTTTCCTGCAAAAAATGGAGATTTGTACAAAAGAATGAGATTTTTACACTGATAATAAAAAAATAATCGTGATTTTCTTCGAAATATTTTTCAAAACGGAATAAATCTTATTGTATTGTTTTCTCAAAATATCATTGTTTCGTTTTCTTCACAGCAAATTTAGCATGACTAATTCCGCTATCTTAATAAGATACTAAGAAGAAGAAGGGAATGACAGTTCATAAAAGTTCATTTCAAAAATACTGTTCTGATCTTTTAAATATCTCGTTGGATCCAGTTCATTCATTCTACTGATTTAGTTGTAGAATATTTAAATTACTTGGAATAAATATTCAGACAGATCGAACTTTCAGAGTTCGAATAATGGCTTTGTACTAAAATAACAGTCAATGCATCTAAATCTTTATTCATATCCCAAATATAACAGAAATGATAAATTTGAGTAGAACAAGTTTTCATTTTTGTCTTAAAAATGCTTGAACCAACTGATGAAAAGTTATCTGTGCAGTTTTTATGTTAAGAAAGAAAAATATACGTGTATCAGATGTTTTATTGACTGCGAGATTAAGAAATCTATGATGCATTTAATGAGATGACTTTTTTAGTTGTCTCACAAATGGCCACTGTGCTTTGAAAATTTCTCATAACAAAGAAAGCAAATCTATTAGATCGAATCAAATTAAATTGTCGAATATGTGACTCAAGTTTAATCTTTGATTATTACCATATGAATTTATTATGATTCATATTGTAGAAGAAGGGAATTGCTGAAAGAATTACGATAATGTTCGATAAATAAAAGAATAACATTTCATAGAACATGAAATTGCTTTCAAAAGTCGTCATACTAATGAATATCAGTTAAAGTGAAACGAAATCAATCGTTTTATTGACTCATTTTAATATTCGTCGGAAACAATCGCAAAGAGACATTTAATTCGAATTCTATTCAACAAATAGGAATCTTTATATGCTGAACAGAGATCCAAATTATGCAATACTTATATGTAAGAATAGATTAACCCGCAGAAAGTCTTAAGAAAAACAAATAGCATCGATCAAGAAAAGCAAACAAATGATAATTATATCGAACAACTCTAAATGAATTCAACTATTATCTTAATGATAACAATTCAAAACTGATCTCTTCCACAAGAATATCATCTCGGTGTGGATGTGGGTGCGGGTACGTGTGTAGGTATTCTTATTTCTCAAACTCATACCCATATCCCACCCACACCCTAATAAAGTGAAATGTAAAAGTGCCACACCCATTATGATCTGATGCTGCCGAATAATTTTCAACAAAAACAGTTCTTATCGAAAGCTTATTATTATGATATTAGTTGAATAGTGATCGAATAACATAGAAAAACAGAGCGAAAGATGCTCTATCTGTTCATAGAAAAAGAAAACTGTTTCAAGCTTTGTATAAGAAAAAAAAAAGTACCTCCATCACCGCTTTTGGATAATCCTAAGTAGATCGGTTATCGACGACGTGATTACTTGCTTGGAATGGAATAACGCTCTTCGTTCAAAACCTACTCACACTACAAAATGAATGAACCAAAAGACTCATTACTTTAGATTTCTGCAGTTTTTTCCTGTTCTTTTACAATGGACAATAACGATATTACGAAACTGTTTACATTGTGCTATCCAAAAAATTCATCAGTACAATTCAAAGATCTTTTTAATGTAAAAATAGTAAGAATTCCATGATGGATGTAAAAATGAAAACAAAAGAATCAATTCTATTTTCATGTAGAATAATGAAACATTTCATCCTTATACAATGGCTCATTTTTAATCTTATAAAAAAAAATCATCAAACTGACTCCATAGTATTTCTCATTACTATTCTTGTAAAGGATCCCACAACATATCTTTCGAAAAAAAATCCAGATAGTATGATTCATCTGCGGTAAGATATTTGAACAATATCAAATATTGTTATCTTTATGCTACACTCGATATTTTCAGATCGCCAGCTCTTTGATGACTTGCACTTGAGATGAGGAAGACCTTTGCTCGATCATATGCATAATGTATGAAATAGAGATGAGCACACGACACTAGAACAGCAGTACCATTCTGTTCTATACTCAGCTCTAACACTTATATTAGAATATTAAATTTCAAAATATTTAATTATCCAAAATATGAATCATTTTTAAAATATTTTCTCATGCAATGAACAAAATTTGTTTACGAATAAATAAACCATCATAAATCCATGAGTGTTTACTCTCCAAATATGAATTTTAGTATACATCCTATACATGATTTATTTAACAATCATAAATGAAACTACAACTTGTTTTTGAAACTATGGATTGTTAGTTTCCAAAAGACATTTTTCATGTGGTATTTATGAGTATAGAATCAAAAGAAATCAATCTGTTTTGATAAATACAATAGAAAGATTTCTAGTTTATCTTGTAAATTAAAAAA